GGCTCTGGAAACTGCCAGCCTTTCCTGTGTGATTTTCAGACAGTCTGGCAGCTTGGCAGGAGCCCACCTTTACATGTAAATAGGGTATCCCACAAAGTACCTATCAGCTAAGGTTTTTACTACCACCCCCATAGTATAAAATATCCTGGTTTTCCCTCAATAATTGGAGCTGCTGGATCACTAAGACTTGGAGCCAAGCTGAGTCACTGAATAAAAGGGCTGTACCACTGACTGAGCTGAGTCCTGTGTCTTACTGCCTACGGTCCAGTCTCCCCGGGGGGCGCTATCCTTCCGTCATCGACTCACGGAAATCCAGCTTTAGCCATCCCGCACCTTCTCACATGACCCGGCAGCTGAGGGATCTCGCACCTTGAGGAAGTGCATGGGTGAAATTGGGGCGGAACTCGGCTGGGCCAGCCCCGGTAGCAGAGACCCACAGAGACGCAGAGAAGCAGGGACCCACCAGCAATACGGAGCAGATGTGCCGCGGGACCCACCACTTCCCAGGTGCACGCAGGAGACCAGCGCCACACTAGCAGCTGGTGCCCCGAGATCCCTGCGCCCCCATAGACATGTGGTCCATAACCAGTGCTTTTCATTGGGGCACAGCTTTTATTTTCAGACCTCTCAACATTGAAATGCATCTTTGTGGCAGTTGCTATGAATGCCACATTATGGCTAAGCCAGAATAAAGAAAGCCTGAATTTTAGTGTCCATTTTAGTCAATAGGCAATCTGAACAACTCTATTCACCTGTTCCTTCAGATTATTCTTGAAATCATGCTGTTGAACAAGGATTTGCTCTTTCTTTAATTAAAACACATATCCAGCATGAAATGGGGAAAGAAACATGGACCCTTATCTTATCAGAGGATTTTGTTCTTTCTGACCCCTACTGACTTAACCAGAACACACAACCACAAATAGATGGTATCAATTTAATTTCATATACTGCTTGCAAAATAAATGGAATAACTGTCTTGTTGCTTTCAGTAAGGATTAATTGCAGTCCTTGCTTGATATTCAAAATACCCCCCATTCATACATTGCCCTAGATCAAGGGAAAGGAAGGGTTATGATCGCTATGTTTACATTACAAGAGGAGCTCAGGACCCATTCAGATTGTCATACCATTATAAACTGATTTAGATATTGTGGAAGTCTTTGGAGTTTGGGTTGGAAAAGCCATTGGGTGCCAGGAGCTTTATGACCCGTTCTGTGGAAACTTGGAAGATAATACTGAAAGAGGTATAGATGATGGAGGTCTGGCTTGTTTAGTTTCAGAGAGAAGTTTGAGAATCCCTCAAAGACTCTTCAAGACAATTTATATG